CCACTTATCCTCTGTCAGTGAGAACAGCAGCTCCTGGGGCTGCTGGACCCCAGCTCAGGCTGCCTGGGGAGCAGGCTGTGGCAGCTGAGGTTGAGCCATGTTTTGGGGCTTCCAGACTCCAGCCAGGATCTCTCAGTAGTCCCTGAGTTCTTCAGCCCTCTAGGAAGGTCTGTATTTTCACTCCCTCCTCCCAGTACAGCTTGTGTAACCGGACTGGGGAAATGCTGCCTGGGGATGAGCTCTGCTCTGCTCAGCCCTGTGGGCAGGAGGGACGATCCATGTGCCACCTCAGCCGTAAGGAAACAACAGACTGCTTCCCTTTGCAGGAGAAACACAGTAAATCATTTCTTCAAAACTAAAACTAAGCTTTATAAAGCACTTAAGATGTGCCATACGAGTTAGTCATTTGCAGATTATCATTGTAGGGTTTACCAGCAGTTTTCCGTCAGGTTTCTCCTGAACTTCCTTCCCCAAACCTGATGCTGAGTTGTCATTTCTTCCACCCCCACATCCTCTACCGTCTTGCACCTATTTCTTTTCCTCACACACATCCATCTTGTTTTCCTCCTCCCAGACACTCTCTGCACTCTCCAGCATGGTTTCAACTTCCCCTCAGCACTGTGGTTACTCTTCCACACTCTCTCACTTAGCAGCTCATCACTTTTTTTTCTGCAACAAGAGTCACAAAACATCAAGTTCAGCTGCCCACACATAATGCACAGGGGTCCAGCTCTACTGATCTCCATGTGCTCAACAGGCTGCTCCTCCTCCACTTCACTGAGAGAGGGGACAAGACTTTCTGCAACGCTGCTGTTCCTGGAGCAGGCTTGGAGCAAGCCCTGACTCTGCCTTCCTCACCAGGGAAGGGATTCATAGGTTGGGGCCTCTTGCTGATCAGCAGAGCAAAACATGAGCTTTCAGGGACTTTTGTGTTAATTTGTGAGTTCACAAGAGAGCAGGTGGCCCTATCCACCACAACTGAGCCCCAGCTGAGTGGTGGAAGTACCTGGGCAGCTGTTGTGTTCATGGGGCACAGCAGGTCCCAGGAGGGATGGAGAGCGCCCAGGTGCTGGCTCGGCACAGCACCCTGCTCGGCCTCCAAAGGGGCCACTCTGCATTCAGCTCTGACCAGGGAGAGCACGCTCGGGCCCCAGTCTGACGTTTAACCTTTCAGCTGGGAATGGAGCTGTGCTGGAGCAAGTCTGCCTGGGGTAAGAATAGCACCTGCTGTCTTGGGACACAGCACAGTTGTCCAGCTCCTCCACGGCAGCATGTGGCACTGAGACACAGAAGGCAGCCTACCCTCCCAGGAATGTCTCAGGCACTATTAGTGGAAGTGAATCATCCCCCCAGACAGGCACGACCCTGAGCAGGAGTCTTAGGAGAGC